AGTGCTGCCACCAGGGAGCCTCCACCGAACCCCAAAGGGTCACGTCCAGTCCTGGCAGCACGGCACACTGAGCACCAGGGGCCCCCTTCCCAAATAGCTAGAAATGCTACATAAATGATAACAAACAGAAAGTCACATACAGCTGAACCTGCCAATAAAAAAACAAAAAAGGAAAATTTCCCAGTGTCGGAAATGAACAAGGGATTGCCGAGCGTTAACACAAGGATACGTGTTAGGGGCTGAGGGTGGGGAACGGTGAAGTCACCAGACCCAGAAACAGGTCCTCACAGCCAGGACCACAAGAAGGCTCCGATTCACACCCTCCTCGTGTAAAACGTAGGCCTGTGCACGTGCAGGCTGCTGGCCGGACAGCCACAAACCAGTGGACAGTGGGCCTGAGGCCTCGGGGAAGGCGAGGTAAACATCTCGCCGGCAGGGCCTCGCAGCACCTCAGGGACGCCCACTAAGATGGGCCACGACTAAGCCCCCCGGGGCAAGCGAGCGGCGGCATATCAAACGGAAGGACTGGTCGCGCCAACAACTCGACACAACACAACAGCCTGAAAGAGACCGTAACTTCACAATGTTTAAAGACCGTAAAAAAAGAAATAGACATGATAAAGAAAGAAGAAAATTCCAGGAAAAAGAACAAGCAAATTTTTTAAAATTCTAGAAATGAAAGATAAATTCATTGAAATGAAAACCTTAATGGATGAATAAAACAGTAATTGTCTTTACAAAAGAAACGAGAAGGAGTAATACACGAGAAGCAATGGTGAGTAAACAAACTGGCCAACCTGTAAATTACTCTAAATAAGCACTAACTGTTAAATTAGTCAACTGGGGGGAAATGATTTTTAAAGGATGATACCAAAATGATACTAAATAATATGAAAGATAGGAGTTGACTGGCGTTGAAGCTTTCTAAGATGCTTGTATTCGGTGTGGGTGCAGAGGGGGGTGCAGAGTGATCCCTAACACATCTCTGTCCCACGCAGGTGCTGGCTAACTTGTCTGGTTATTATTTGTGTCTGGCATGTAATAGATACTCAGAAAAATTAGGGTAGAATGAAATATTCTTCAGTGAAAGTATTTGGACAATCTTTAAGAAGTGGGAACTAAGCTAAGGTTAACCATTCTCAACCTTTGAGAGATTCCACTATAGACAGAGTTGAGGACTAGAAGAAATATACCAAAAAAAAAAAAAATGCAAAAATTGATTGAGCTTTGCACACGTGTAGGGGTGTGTGGTACTGGGGGCAGTGACTATAGAGTGAACAGGCACAGGAAGCTAAGCAAGTAAGCGGGCTAGCCTGAGGGACAATTCTAGACAGGTCAGCCCTCTTTATCAAGGGAGAAAGTGACTTTTCCAAGACACACCTCTAGCAGTTCACAGAGGACCAGGGAACATGGTCCCTGGTCATCCTCCCAACTGCTCCACCATTTCACTCCAGAGCTTATAAACACAGGGTGGAAAACCCAGCAGGAAGGTGGGGATGGGTCACATGGGAACAGTTCTGTGTCCCCTGAAGAGTTAAACAAACAGGGGCCAAGGCAAGCCTGTTTGTTTAAGCAGAGAGTGACACACTCTGAATTAGAGGAGAGAACAGAAAAGGGAGGAATGGAAATAGCACAAACCTTCGATGCACACGGTCAGCCCACATTGCCGGCCCTCTTCTGCCAGAGAGCAGAACCTACGGCGTGTAGCAAGCAATGGCAGATGGGGAGCAAGAGAGTTAAAGACAACTGCCATCACTAGCCACAGCGACGACAGGACAGTGGTACCTTTACATACACAGGAAAGACAGAAGAAGCTGCAAGCTGGGGTAAGGGGTGATGAGTTTGCTCTGGACACAGAGTCTGAAGTGGCAGGAAAAACTCACGTTGGAGACTCCACCAAGCAGCTGAAAACAGGAGCGTAAAAGAGAAGGCAGCTGCAGAGCCACAGAGACACTGTGTTCCCTGTCCTCCTAGGCCGAGGGGGAACGTGCACATCTGGAGCGACTCCTGTTATCCGGACTCACACAACGCATGAGCCGCCTTGCCTCTTTCAGGATGCACGCGCCCATTTACACAGCGTCAGTGCTGAACAACAAAGAGCATGGCAAGATAGACAAATCACCATCCTCACACTACAGCAAAACTCACACGTATCTGTTCTGGCTTTTGTAAAAAGAACAACATTTCCAGTAAATATCCCCTGTACCACCTTTGAACTGTGCAGTCTCCATCCCTTGTTGCTTCCAGTATAGCCTGCCAGCATGCGACCCTCCTGACTCCCGTCAGTTTCACCATTCATTTTAGAATTTCAGTGTAAACATGCAGCCCCACAGTCTGGGACTCTGGAAGTACAACACCTATTTCATTCCAACCGAGCAGTTCCTCTGAGGAATTCTAGCCCACAAAGGGAGGCGCTGATCCCTCCGCCTTCTGTCCTCTCACCCGCCCTGACCGGGAAGACCCTGGCCTCAGGGTAAGGCAATGTCAATGTCCAGAGCAGGGGTCCTCAAACTACGGCCCGCCGAGGACATTTATCCGGCCTGCCGGGTGTCTTTGCTGCTGCTGCCTGTCCTGCTTAGCAACCAACTAGCCCCGGGCCCACAGTGCACATGTGTGGAATGTGCTGCACTCTCCAACGGCCTCCAACGGTCTGAGGGACAGTGAACTGGCCCCCTGTTTAAAAAGTTTGAGGACCCCTGGTCCAGAGCAACGGCAGCCACCGCTTCCTCCAAACAGATGCCACGTCCTATACAAATCCATTTAGATGTATGCAAAAGAATCTTCGCTTGCACAAAAAATATGTGTGTATACATTTTATATGTATATTTATATATTTACACACAAACATATACACATATAAAACTTTGTAAGATACACGTCTACGGTTGACCCTTGAACAATGTGGATTTGAACTGCATTTTCTTCTACCTCTGCCACCCCTGAGACAGCAAGTCCAACCCTCCTCTCCCTCCTCCTCAGCCTGCTCAACACGAACACGACCAGGATGAAGACCTTTACGATGATCCACTTCCACTTAATGAATATAAATATATTTTCTCTTCCTTATGATTTTCTTAATGACATTTTATTTATTATAAGAATATAGTATATAATATTAAATACATAAAACATGCAACATATGTGTTAATCCACTATTACGTTATCAGTAAGGCTTCCAGTCAGCAGCAGGCTATTGGTAGTTGAGTTTTAGGAGAGTCAAAACTTACATGTGGATGTTCTTTCCTCTCTTTTTCTATTTTTTAAGAGGTGGGGTCTTGCTGTATTGCCCAGGCTGGTCATGAACTCCTGGCCTCAAGTGATCCTTCCGCCTCAGCCCCCCAAGTAGCTGGAACTACAGGCAAGCGCCACAGCACCCGGCTATACTCGGGTTTTCTACCGACAGGGGTGAGTGCCCCTAAGCCCTGTGTTATTCAAGGGTCAACTGTAAATTGTCTTCTATACCCACAAGGTCAGGCTCAACTGGAAACCCTGAGAAAGGAAACCACTACACCTTCCAGCAGACTTAGACCACAGGAAAAGGGGGAGTATAGCACTAGCAACTGTAAGAACAGACAAGAGATCCTCAATCAGAGGACAAATTCTTCCATCATGGGCCAAATGCAAATGGAGGTTAAGGACAAGGGTCACTCAATGAAAAAGCAAGCCCTCAGAAGCTGACCTCTTCCTCTGCAGAGCCCGTGCACCCCCACAGCTCCATGCCCTGAGCTTGGGGGTGAGCCCTTCACTCACCCCTCACCTGGCGTGTGCCAGCCCTGTTCCAGGCACAGAGGCCCTAAAGTGGACGGGATAGACAAAACCCCATCCCCAAACCCGTCTCCCTGTCCCATGGACTCACATTCCAGAGGGGGTGGATGAATGACAGAGAAAGAAAACACGTAACATTGTCAGATAAGTGGTGACGATATATCAGTAATTTCCCAAAATACACAATATGTCAGGTGGGAAGGAGGACAGACATGCCAGGGTGGAGACAGGGACAACTTCCATCGAGTGCCAAAGGGAGGAGGGCCGAGTCAATCTCAGCAAAGACCTGAAAAGGATGGCGGGAGCGAGCCGCAGGTGTGAGCACCTGGGAGGCCAGCGGAGCTGTGAGCAGGTGAGGGGAGGCCCAGAGAGGACAGCACCTGCTACTTTGCTGCAGTGAGTCTGTTTTGCTGTCCCTGGGCCAGAATGAACTACAGGCACCTGGAGAGCAGGGTGTGTGCTACACGTGCACAGATCCACCCCAGGCCTGGCGCAGGGCCTGAGCCAAGCGTCAGCCAGCATCAACCACATCTCAAAGCCTTCGCCAGTGGTTTGTAATTTCATCACTATGCAAGATATTTTCCAAGAAAATACTTAGCTTTAATCTCATAATGGAAGTCAACAATGAAACAGGATTTGCACTGCAGTGTACTAATGAACAAAGTACAAATTCATTTTCTAGACCACTTTGCTAGAACAATCGCTCCCTAAAATTAAAAAAATGCCTATAGTTAAATCATATTGGCTACATAATATATACAAATAGCATACATACATAATGTGTTCACACAGCTTTGATAGATAACCACAACACACTTCCTAGCTCACTAGAGAAGACCTTGAGAAAAAAGCTCCTGCTTAACTCTGTATTCTAGTAATTACAGGCCCCACTTGGAAACATCAAAGGAATTAATCATCAGCTCATCTAAGCAGAAATTGCAAAAAATAGCTTTAGACAAGGGCTCAACCAGCCTTCTCTGTACAGGGCCAGAGAGTAAATATTGTAGGGTTTGCAAGCAACACACAATATTCATTTCATAGTCTTCTTTGCTTTTGGGGGGTTTTGTGTGTTTACATGTTTGTTTACCATGCTTGAAAAACCACCCCTAGCTCCTGAGACAAACGAACAGGCCATGGTTTGCCAACCCTGCTTTTCCCCACGGTAAGAATGAGACACCCGGAGCCCCCAGTGTCTAACAGTGAAACCAGAGGGAGATGCCGGATCGCTGGGTTACCTCCTTCAGTCTCTCCAGCTCGTTCTGGAGCGCCTGCTTGGATATTTCCACTTCGATCATCTGCTGTCGCAGAGTTTCATTCTCATCCTCAGCTTTAGTGCGCTTCTCCTCCACCGTCTCGAGTTCATGGTGCAACCTGACAGACACGTCTTTGGCCACCTGCAGTGACCCACAGAGATAACTGTCAGGATGTGAGCTTTTTATGTGCTACAGGTGCACTCGGACAGCATCAGAGCCAAAGTCATTAAGTAATATGATGTTATACCGAATAGCAAAGACCCTGGTAATATTTAACAGACCTATTTTTAAAGGAGGAGGGTATTAGTTTAAAACATGGAATCAACAGTATGAGGGAGAAAATAACTTGCATTTGGATTAAAAGGCCACTCTGGCTGGTCCAACAGTAGTGGATTATCATAACTTACTAACGTCAGTGTCACTAAAGTTGGTATACAACGTCCCACTGCTACATTTGACTAGCTTAATAAATAATTTTTTTGTAAAGAAAAGACCACTCTGGATAGTACTATGCCTTCATGAAATGGCATCAGGAATGCCAATTCTGCCCAGTTCATATGCTTTAAGTGAGGAATTAAAAATAACAATAACAGACAAATAAACATTTCTATTCCCTAAGGTAATTCTGAACCTGCCTGCTGAAAAAATAAATAAAATAATTCTGTGCGCAGCAGATGTTCAATGTACTCAAGTTTTAAATTGTCTGCTGTGGCTCTGAATGTTCTAAGCAGTTAAACATTTCTACTTTCTTAAAAGCAAATGAGGAAAAAGACTTTGTAAGAGAAATATCAATCACCCTGTATCACACTGGATGACATTTTTCTTAGTGGTTTATATCTTTGGTGGAATTACAAAGTTTATTTTCCTGTTACCATGCCAAAGGGCTAGATAAGCTCTGACAAGTATACTCATAATAAAGAGGACATTATGCATAATTCTAGGTAAATGATTTGATAATCGGGTCATATGAGAAGCTTTGCTGCCCATGGAGGGAGCAAATGTTGTATAAAGTCTAGGATTTCTTTATTCATTCCCATTCTGCCAGTCATTCTCAAAGACACTTCAGACAAATAGTTATGATCCTATTTATCCTTCAGTTAAATCACCCCTACACAAGCCTCACTTGGGTTATGGGAATTTTAGGTTTTCAGGTTTTCTGCAACCTAAGTAACAATAAAAATGTTAAGTGATATGGTCAACTTTTAAGAGTGGCTTTTAACTAAATTGATAGTCAATAGATTTTTTTTTTAAAAAAGTTCAGATCTTTTGGAGTTCCTGCACAATCTATGTAATTGTCAGATTAATTGGCAAATATTAATTCTTGTTTACCACAGATCCATTACTATGATTCTTTATGTTCATATTATGACAGATTTAAAACTTTGGCCAAAGTCATACAACAATGCATACTCTATAAGCCATAAAGTAAACCAGACTGTTTATGCTGAACTCTGTTGGCACAGACGCAAGCAGGGAAAGAACCCCAGGACAACGTGCAGGTGGGGTCTCAGGTCACACGTTCAGATGGGCGACCCAGTGCACGGCAGCCACGAGCACACCGCCAGCCCTGCTCGCTCACCTTCAAGTCCTGCTCCAGGCTCCGGATGAGCTCGCCGTCCACCTGCCCTGTCTCGGCCACTTTCAGGCTTTTCTGCTCTGCTTTCCGGAGACGGTACTGCAGGATTCGGCAGTTTTTGTTAGAACGGTCCAGTTCTCGCCGAAGTTCCTGCAGCTGGTAAACATCTTCCTCTAAGTAACTGTCTCTCATTTCTTCCATTTCAGCGCGGAGTTCGTCTAACTCATCCTATGCAAACCAAACAGAGCAGGTGTGTGAGCCAAGTACGTCAAAAAAGGACGGTGTCTCTCCCCTCCACCCCTGCTCCTCAATACTCAACACTAAATACCCACACGCTCACCATCAGCTCATGGCCACACCCGTGGGACACGGCAGAGGGCCTCTAGGCATTCGCACGTGAGATAGTATCACTGAATGCTGTTCAAATCTTAGGGACCCAGAAACTAAAAACCAGCCCGGATTATTCACCGCGGCCTCTAGGAACTTTTTCCACTCCCAATATTTCCTTACATAATCAAAATGAAATCAGTCTGCAGAGAACTAAACTTTAGATTCAGACCAAAAATTGACCTAACCCTGTATCTCTAAGCCACATTCCAGACAGACTCGGCCTTTGAGGAACATAAACTTTAGTGGAACAATAACTGTTAATTGCCCTGGAATTAGAACATACCTGCAAACATCCCTAAAATTCTGCTCCACAACGCAAATCTCAGCACTGACTAAGTGACTCTGTCTAAAAATGTAACATTTTCCATTTTTCAAATACACATTCGGTCTGTTTTTTCCCATTCCTCTGTCCATTACTTCCCACACCTCCATTCTCCTCTGCGTCCACATGACGGCACCGGGCACAGGGAGCCCAAGGAGCCACCCCTGGGCGCCCTGCCCCTCCTGATCCACGGCCACTCATCAGCCAGCGCTGTGCTCACCTGGGTGCGCCCACTCTCTTCTCTCGGGCCCCAGCACCCTACTCCCTGCCTCCGTCCCTCGGTGTGGGGGGCAGCTGCGTAGGACCTAAGTACAGACACGTGGGGCTCCCTGCTTCTCCATCCCATAATCCCCCCACGTTTCTATACTGATGATGAAAGCATCATTAAAAATACAAAATGTCCTATAGGATAAATCTTAACATTGAAAATGTTGTGAAATATATCCAAATTTCATTTCTTTTTCCCTTCATGGAGATCACTCCCCGTAAACCTTACTCCTGGCAGGAAAATCTGCTGGGACTGCTGGGAGTTACTGGAGTGAGCACCGAAGCCGGTCGGTGGAACACACGTGAACGGAATGCGCAGTTTGGGCTCTTCCGGGGACAGAGAACACAGCTCTTTTCGGAAGGCGCCTGCTAACCTTCCCAAAGAGGGGGTGGTACTGACGCCGATCCCCCACCGGGCTGTGACAGCGCTGTGCAGGAGCTGTGCCCCCCCAACTCATGCTAGAGGAGGCCAACCGCAGATGACAAACTGTAAAACTCTTTTCATCATGAATAGAAAGCTAGTCCTGAATCTTCAAAAACCAAAGTCAAGTTTCACTCACATCCCATCTATGAATCTAATGGATCAGACTTTGAGCAAGAGCCTCATCTCAATGCTTATTTCTGAGCACAGTTAAAAGGTAATTTTTCACTGGGTAATTAACAAATCATAGTTCAGTACAAGAAATAATCATAATAAATCTGCTAAATCAATACATATATATGTACACTTGCACATAAAAATATACAGTGACTTTGGCCATTCTGTTCAGAAAAAGAATTGTTTGTGATTGCTTCTCCTTCTAGAAAGCTTGTCTATAAAAGCAAAAGTCATTAATGCCTGGAATTATCTGTAAGTCAAACAAAAGTTTTAAAACTATGATACAGCTGCTCAGGAGGCTGAGGCAGGAAAATCACTTGAGCCCAGGAGTAGAGGAGGTTGCAGTGAGCTATGATGATGCCATTGTGCTCTATCTGGGGTGACAGAGCAAGACTCTGTCTCAAAAAAAAAAATGTAAGATACAGCTTCCAGGTATAAAAATGTTCTCTAGTTTTCAGACTTTGCAACAGGAAGGCCCTCACCCACCCTAATATTAAATGCTACATGGTTATGTAGATATGTAAACAACCATTACAGGCCACAAAAACTGTTTAAGGGCTAGACGCACCCACACCTCCACGTCACTGAGCAGGCCAGATGTAAACAGCTAATACTTCTGGCATAAATAATAACCAACATTAGTAGCACTGAAAAGAAAATTAGGGAGAGACCAGAATTGCATGTATTTAAATCAATGTTTTTATAACTCATATTTTAGTAAATTTATAGAACAGAAAACAACCTTCATTAAGCACTCTACCCTCATTACTAACCCTACAATAACCCTGTCAGGAACGTATTACCCCCATTTTATAGACCAGGAAACCAAACAGAAGCCGATCACACGTGTGCAAAACCTCGTATCTAGTAAACTGAAGCCAGACTGTAAACCCTGGACTGTCTGCTTCCAAGCACATACTCTTTCCAGTAAATACTACAAATTCTTTGCTACAACCTAGGCAAATGAAATAATAACAGAACTTCAACTGTACTTTTAAAAGCCCCCATTCACGTAAACCAATAAAAGCAGCCTAACATTTAGAGCTTGACAGCTGTCAACGTACAGGCATATCCAGGGCAATTGGTCTCAGGAAAATACTGCACTGTGAGGTGTCAGTACCCTCATCTTTTAAATGAGGAAACTGAGATTCTAGAAGTTTAAATGGCTTCCCACAACTAGTCTATTGTGGAGACAGGACCAAGACCAGTGTTTCAACTCTTTCCATAGTGCCTGGAAAAAAGGCAATTTTCAGTTCAGTAAAAAGAAGTTACAAGAGAAGCAAAGTATAGACCATGTACGCTGGCAGGAACCATTCAAAAGGCCAAAACTGATCGTCCGAATTAGGGTGGTGATGGATAGTGATTTTCAAACTGACATTACATTAATTTTCTGACAGCATGCTCCAATTTAGAAAACAGTATACTGCTGAACCTTAAAGAAGGGTGCTACTTAAATGCTTAAGAAAACCAAATCGCGCAGAACATACAATGTTTCTGGCAGGTATCATTTAAAGATTGTAATTACAAGTGGAAAATTGCTGTCGTCTGTTTATATACAGAAATAAATAACAAAAAAACTGTCCTTAATCAATAGTATTGTACTGAATTAACATCAGATCTGTAGAACACTTAAATGTTAGATCATTACCTCACTGAAAAGTTTATCTAGTTTTAATTAGATATCCTTTTCAAATTAATTTTTTATATAAAATGAAATCTTGAAGTAGTGTGAAGCTGTCCAAATAGTCCCCTTTCTTACAGATGGCAAATAAAGCCTTATTATATGTATATGTTATATATAAATTTTATATAAGTTTTATATATATATAATTAGAGGAATAATGAGGTACCATGTATACACTAGAGTAAACCAAGATTAAATGTTTCAATGAAAACCTCTAAAGAATAGTTTTATCCACAAATTTATGATAAAACTCGAATCCACGGTTTCTTAGTATAAGTAATGAAAACTCTTGATCATACTAATCACTGTATTCAAATCTAAATCTCTTTTTAAACAACCTGAAATCAATAACTATTTCTATTTTACTAACTCCTCTACAAATAGACCCAATTTGGACCATAGCAGCAGTCATCTGGCTACTGCTACAGTAATTCCATCTTCTGGCAGTTGCCGACAGAAACGATTGTCTTTGGTAATACAGGAATAATCCACCTCATTTCCCTCCGGACAATGGCAGTGTTCTAGAGTCCCAGCTGGAGCTAAGGAGGCGCAGGAGCTGCTCCCATTGTTTACCAAGGGACAGTTCGGCCAGCAGCTGATGGGCTGGTAGCCTTCCTCTGCATCAGCTTGCCACCCAAGACTATTATAGCTGTTATTCACTGGCAGAATAAAGAATGGCTGTGGAAAGCAAAGTCAGGGAAGAATAGGGACTACTATCCAAAACCCTTCCAAAAGAAAAAGATGGAGGTGGCGGCAGAGGAGCTGAAACACTTCAGCTGCTGAGAACTGCTGACACGCACCTTGCCATGTCCCCCTCCAGGGCAGCAAACATAACAAACCAGGTCAGAGCTTGAAACTCAAAATCTACCTCCAGTGAGAGAGGATGGTAAGGTTGGATCAGCCAGTAGTCACTGCAGCCTATAAAACCAAACCCCAATATCTCCCTTAGCAAATCATTCCTCTCCAGGAAGCCAATTTTATCTGCCCGTGTAGCTAGCAATGACTTGTTTTCTTTTCTTTTTTTTTTTTTGAGACAGAGTCTCACTTTGTTGCCTAGGCTAGAGTGAGTGCCATGGCATCAGTCTAGCTCACAGCAACCTCAATATCCTGGGCTCAAGTGATCCTGCTGCCTCAGCCTCCCGAGTAGCTGGGACTACAGGCATGTGCCACCATGCCCGGCTAATTTTTGTATATATATTAGTTGGCCAATTAATTTTATTTCTATTTATAGTAGAGACAGGGTCTTGCTCAGGCTGGTTTCGAACTCCTGACCTTGAGCCATCCGCCTGCCTTGGCCTCCCAGAGTGCTAGGATTACAGGCATGAGCCACCATGCCTGGCCTGACTTGTTTTCTTTTAACCAAAAATAATTTTTATGAAATAAATGAAAAAGTAGAACAAAAAGAAACTACCCTTCCTACCCCAATGTTCATCCGCCCTGCAAGAGATCAGCATAGAACAGGACAGTATTTGGGGGCAAGGGAAAAGTGGGGTGTGAATGCAAAAAGCATTTTTCAAAATAGGCCAATAAACTCAAAATGATTAAATCCTTCTGAAAAGCCTACGGAAACAGAAGACATAATTAATATGTTGACGATGAGCACTCCAGCTTGTCTGATTGTCTCAGAGCACTCGAACAAAACACAGCCCCGGACACCGGGCAGGAAAGAGACACACCAGCATGCTGAAGTCCTCAGCATTAAGAAACGTGCCTGGGTTTCATTTGGGAAAGAAGTGAAGGCCTTTGGATAACTAAACTCAACCATTCACCTTAACTCCTCAATACTTCCAAATATCTTTGCATTCATCAGAGGTCAAAGGACAAACGAGTGCTTTTCTATCTGTGTTTTCATGCAAAAGCCAATGACAGGGATGGAGTCATTTTACATTTTTCACCTAGTCATGCTGGTGCCCCCTGCTGAAGGTGGAGAAGGAACAGAAGGCAGACTCAGGGATGGCCGAATTCGCTCCACATGGCACGAAGGAATGCTTGCACTTCTCTGTTGACATTTGCAATTTCAAAAAATATAGTAGTCTGGCTAAAAACTAAGAGAAGCCCACTAAAATTCCTGATCGATAAGACATCCTCCTATGGTTTTGCTGGTCTTATTTTTCTGTTCAATCAGGCTTTGGTCATTCTAGCTCAGAAACTGTGACAGTCTTATAATAGCAATGTTGACAGCACTTACTTGGGAAAGAACGTGGTCATACTTTATGTGGTCATAATCTTCCAGAATACATCCAAGTAAAATTTCTGGGCTGAGTCTCTTCTTGTTAGAAGAGAGAATATTGGAATAGAGAGATGCTGTATCTAATTGTGAGAGTTCTGTGTGGCATCCCTTAAGAAAGTAGCAGGTCAAGGATGTACTTTTATCTACCATCTTAGAAAAGTACCCCTGAACAACAGCAATGACAAGTTTTGATTTATAATGTGCATACTCTAAACAGCAAGTGCAAAAGCCTGACTACTGCCTCTGCCCCATGGGGTCACTGACGCTCCAAGCCCAATTTGCACAATTGAGCAAGCTCGAAGAGTCCACTAGGATGCCTGTGTTTCTGTCCCATATTGAACTGCTGTAATTTAAGCTTTCAAGTGACCAAGCATGGACCTCTCACACACACATGCAATTGTCTGGTTTGCTAGCCTCCTTCAGACCTCCTCCAGGCCCTGCTCTCTCCTGCTGTCAGAGGAAGGGCTGGGGGGTGAACTCAGGCATAGTAAACAGATAGAGGGGTCACTTTCCCCGCAGGAAATGGCAACTGAACATTTCCCACAAATTAAACATTGCCAGTGGGACTCATATGACCATTCGCACACAGGCTAGTGGAGAGGTGTTCATTATGGCCCTTTCACCTAAAAAGAAAACAGAGGTCCCCTAGGAAAACTGAACACTGGGAATGTTTTGAGCTAATAAAACAAGTCTGAAGCAGTGTGCTCTGAGCAAGCAGCCTGGCTGGAAACGGGCACTGCCTGGCGCAGGGAAAGGGGCAGAGGCTCTGAGGGCAGGGAAAATAGAAGGGCAGGGAAAATAAAATTAGCTGTGCAACCTCGGGCAAGTCATGTATGTTTTTGGTTCTCAGCATGTGTCTGGGAAACTATCACAACAATAACATCCTATGCTGTGAAGAATCACTGAAATGTCAAATACACTAGATCGGACTCCAGGGTCAGACACCTATTTCACTCCCTGAGAATCTAACAATGTGAAAAGATAAAGCAGATGACCAGTCAGCCAAGAATGAACTCTGAAATGGTGAGGGACTGCCTCGCTTAGATCTAAGATGTAATGAGAAACATCTTTTCTTTAAAGAAACTCAATTTTCTGTTGCACAGCAGTCATTTGGATAAACACCACTCAATCAGAAACACCTTAGGTCAGAGATTATGCTAAACACTGAGGCCACAAAAATCAAATAAGATGATCTGTCTCCCCCACAGGGAGCGACACATTCCTCCAGGACTTTCAGAAGTGCTGCTGTCGTGATGGAGCCTCATACAGCACAGCTACCCTTTCTCTTCTACACCTTTGAATTCCTTCTGCTGTCTGTTACATAAGAGTAGGAGACAAAAGCACACGTACTATGTCAAACATCTCACTCCAGCCCCAATCGGCTCTTTTATCACTTCTCTTTCTGTGCC